CGTCGCCCAGAGAGCCGGTGGGATTCTTGACGCTCGCGCATCCCCACCATCGCCTCTTCGGCCAATTAACCGTTTCGCGCCCCGTTCGATGCCCCGCTTCTTGACTTTCGCCAGGGGGCTGCCAACAAAAAGTACCCCTACCAGCCCATCCAGAAACGATCAGCAGGGGAGTTGGTGAATCAGGGGCGGCAGGGCGCATGCAGCGCGGCCGTCTCTGGGAAAACAAGGATCACGCATAGATTCTCGCATTGAAGCTTAATATTGAAGTCAGTGCGAGCTACGCTGATGTTTCGATGAGAGTACTCGTGATGGTTCCCTATCTAGGCTCTGCCTAGAAGGGCTCTTACTCTCTATCTTAAAGGGGCCGGGCAGCGGGGCCCGCCCCGGGCGGTTCCCCCGGCATCCGCCCCGCGGTTCCCCCAGCGACGCCCCCTTAGCTAAGAGTTGCTTATCTCATCTGAGCTTACTTAATTTCAGCTTAGCTTAGCTTAGCTTCATCTTAGCTCAGGTTTATTTTAGCTTAGCTTACCTTCATCTTAGTTTCGCTGAGCTTTAACATAGCAGAGCACAGCATATCATAGCATAGCATATAGCGCAGCACAGCATATCATAGCATAGTCCAGTATCGCATAGCATAGCACAGCACAGCACAGCACAGCGTAGCACAGCGCAGCATAGCATAGCATAGCAAAGCATAGCATAGCATAGCATCAAAGCAAAGGCAACGCAACAGCAGCGACAGCAAAGCAAAGCACAAGCAACACAAAGCAAACAAAGCATTAGCATGGGTGTAATTCCCTACCTAGGCCCTGCCCAAAAGTTCGCTTAGCTTAGCTTAGCTTAGCGTAGCTTAGCATAACATAGGCAAGCATAGCAGAACATAGCATAGCATAGCGCAGCATAGCATATCACATCATATCATGCCATAACATAACATAGCATAACATGTTACGGTGCAGCTTAGCATACCATAGCATAGCTTAGCGTAACTTAGCATAGCACATCGCAGCATGACATAGCATCGCATAGCGTAGCATATCATAACATATCATATCGCAGCATATGAGCATATCACAGCGTAGCGCAGCAACGCATGGCATATCATATAACCGCCTATCAACTAATGCTTCTTTCCTAGGGGCTCCAACTTCTAGGTAGGGTCGCGCTGGTGTAATTGTTGCGCTGATCTGTATCTTAAGCTCGCGTGCGTTCCGAAACTTGGAAGCATGTTGGGGCTCTCGTGGGATTCTCTTGGGCCCCTCCTCGGGCCTCCTGGGACGTTTTTTGGTGCTCTCTTGAGGTCCTCTTAGGGCCTTCTTGGGGCGTCTTTGTTGCGTCTTGGGGCCCTCTTGGGGCTCCTGAGGGGCTGCTTGGGGCTCCCGTGGTCTGTCTGTGGACTGCCTGAGGGGCCTCTTGGGGCAGTCTTGGGCCCTTTCGTTAACAAAAAACATGGGGGGGGGCTTAATTCAGACCCCCATCGAAGGCTCAAAAGTGCCATCCTGGGGCACTCTTGGCCATGCAGCTCTTGGGGCGCTCGCTCTTGGGGCCGTCTTTGGGTCCTTTTGGATCCCACCTGGGGCTATCTTGCGCCGTCTTGGGGCCATCTTGAGGCCCCAGTCGCCCGTCGGAGGCGAAAGCACGAAAGCTTATGTGTTTGAAAGATTTTGGCCTCTTGGGGGGGATCCTCGGAGGCCTCGGGCAGCGCTTGAAACCGTCTTGGGGCCGTCTTGGGGCCTGTCGGGCGCGCGTCGCAAGCTACTGACCAAACTGCCGATAGATTGGGCCAGCTTGGAGGCCATATTGCGCTCTCTGAGGCCCTCTTGGGGCCATATTGGGCCATCTTGGACGCCGCCATGGGTCGCCCCGCCCCCCGCCCAAACGCAGGGGGGGGGGGGGTAGGCCCTCCCAAGCAGGGGCAGGAGAGATGTTGGAAAAGTGCGCGCCCTAGACCACCTGCGCCCAGAAGGCTGCGTGGCGGGATTACTACAGAAGCGCACGTCGCGGGGGGGGGGGGGGGCGGGAGGGGCAGCCAAAGCACTGAACCCTGGGGTCCCCAATGTGGAGCGGTGGATTTACTCGCCTTTCCCGTGGTTCAAAGATATCAGTAGATTCGCCCAGCCTTTCATGCCAGACCCTTCTGTTGAGACCTACACCGAGTGGACTGCGCAAGGTGTCAGGAAGTGGAGCGGTGGGAAAGACTTGAAAGGCACGCAGGCATATCCCGAACTGTTTGGGGAAAATATACAGCATCTGTACGATTTACATCGAGAGTCGATTCGAGGTTGGGCTTCTGCCGTGTCGGACCTTTCTCGACGAAAAATGTTGACCGAGAAGGATTGGGTTGGTGGTGATAATTGGGACGATGCAGACCTTGCGCCAGTGTTTCGCTACCTGCTGCAATTGTGAATGCGGTGGATCCATATGCGCGCGGCAGCTGAGCCCAGGTCAGAGCCAGCGTCGCCAGAAATGACCAGTCCCCCGCCCTCCCCTTCCCCTCCTTCTTTTCTTCTTCCTCACCTTCGCCCCCCTCCTCCGCCCCCCCCCCCTCTCTCCCTCCGTCGATCCCCCCCCCTCCCCTTTTTGTTATGCATTTCAAGCGCTGGCGGCATCGATCAATGGAGCGGGCCTCGGTGCATTTCTGGATCCGCCCCCGCCCCCCGCCCCGACCTCATATCGTGACCGCGCTGGGGCCTTGCGGGCCCGATGCAAGCTTTGCGCGACGGCATCTCCTGTAGGGGTCGTTTTATTTCGAACCGTTGGGCGCTCGTGCCTGTCGAGGGCACCGTGGCAAGGTTATAAGGGGGATCTGCTGTTCAAAACTTGTGACATATCGAATGCATTGTGTTCTGTTGAGGTTAACTAGTGCCCTGATAGAATCGCCTTGGACATCGCTCGCCTTTTTCTACTTATTTTTAACTTCTGCGCAGAAATCAATGCCGGAAAAAAGCCGTAAAAACGGCGTGGATTGGAGTAGAATGCCGGAAGCTGGAGGTCTATATGTCTTTTGTATTTCGCCTAATCCCAAATTAAATCTTTAGATTGCTCTTAGATCACAGATGTTGATAATATGTTATTATAGAAGTGTTTGCGCACTCCTGGATGCTTCTGGATAGCGTCGGACATCTTAAGATGCCTGCATATACTCATCGGGGCCCTTTTCTCAGCCCCCCTTCCCCTCTCCGCCCTCTGCAGCTGCCTCGTCAGCGCCCTGTGCGCAGCCCGAGTGTGGGGCGTTGGGTTTACGAGGAAGTGGCCAGCGATGATAACGCGATCGGCAACTAGCGTTGCGTCGGATCGTCTGATCGTCGTGCGATTCCTCTCTTCCTCCTCCTCCTTCTCCTCTTCCTCCTCCTCCTCCCTCCCACCTCCTCCTCCTCCTCCTCCCCCCTCCTCCTCCTCCTCCTCCTCCACCTCCTCCTCCCTCTTCCTCCTCCTCCTCCTCCTCCTCCGCGCGCCGGCGCCGGCGTCGATTCAACGCCGGCCCGGGGCAGAAACGACGCCGGGCCGGCATTGATATCTGAATTCTCATATTATATATAATATTTATAATTATATTAGTATTAATATTCAATATATATATATAGAATATTATAGATTTATATATTTATATACGCTGGAGCATTATTCATGCTTTGTCACCACTAGTGGCTCATGCATATTTGTGTACCGCGGCCCGGCCGGTGCCAGCGCGCCGGCGCCGGCGCGCCGGCGCCGACGCGCCGGCGACCGCGCGCCGGGCCGGCGTCGGATCGACGCCGGCGTCGACGCCGGCGTCGACAGCGTCAATTGGGGACACCGCTGCGCGATGTATACGGATGTGGAGATGGAGGATGAGCGAGAGAGGTGGAGGATGAGGATGAGAATGATAAGGAGGAGTATGAGGCGGAGGAGGAGGAGGAGGAGGAGGAGAAGGAGACGGAAGAGGAGGCGGAGGCGGAGGAGGAGGAGGAGACGGACGATGAGGACTCGAAATAGAATGATGAGATGAGGCAGGCGAGGAGGAGGGGGAAGATGAGCAGGATAAGCAGCAGCGGCAGAAGCGGGATCAAGTTCAGGAGTATGATAAGGAGGAAGAGAAACATGCGGAAGGGGATGATGGCGAGGCGGAGGAGGAGGTGGAGGAGGAGGAGCAGGAGGAGGGGGAGGAGGAGGATATGAGTAGGATGAAGGGGATCATGAGGAGGAGGAGGAGGATGAGGAGGACGAGGAGGAGGATGATGAGGAGGAGGAGGAGGAGGAGGGGGAGTAACCGACGCGGTAACCACTGGCGCCTGTGGCAGAGGTCCCGATGGGGCCACGAATCGTTTGAGATGCGCGTCGACATGCTTGCTGTGACGGGCGCATTCGAGCGGACTTGGCGCCTTCGGTTGCGCTCCCTATTGGGCCGCGAAACACGTGAGGGGTGCCGAGGCCGCGTTGCGCGCGTGCGAGCGCGCGCCTGGAGCTTTCGGTGGAAACCCCAGATGGTGAGGAGTCGGATGATGAGTTTTTAGCAAGATCTCGCTGGGCCGTGTGGAGGAGACTGCTCTCAGATCCCAGGTCATAACGAAGGTGTCACTTCTTCCACTCAGTGCATTTGGGGGCGTCCGAATCCAGCGGGGCTGATGGGCGCATCGGAGCCCCCCCTCCGGGCACGAACCCAGGAGAGGTTATCGTCAGTTAGTGAGAACTGCATGGCCCAACACTTGGACTCTAGCTGCGAAAGCTCGGCAGCCTCCAGGACTCCACGCCCTGGCGTTCAGCCTGGCCGAGGCCTTCGGAGGCCCCCAAGGCCCCAGGGCCAGGCCCCTCTTGCCCACCTTGTATTCTTCCCAGCTGCGTCGAGGGGTGGGGTGGGGATCCCATGCTGTGAGGTGCTGAGGCCAGGGGGTGATAGTCCTGCCCCCCTCACTCACCGTCACTCACCCACCCCCTCACCTGTCGCGGTCTGTAGCCATTTAGGCTCTTCAGGACTTTCAGGTTCTAGCTTCTCCCAACGTCGAAGCATCGACGCCGCGGCCATGGCTTCTGCGGCTTCTGCTCCCGCGCCTCGCACTGAGGAGCCTGAGTACGAGAACGACGGCCGATATGAAGGTTGGGGGATGGCCATTGACGACGAGTACTACGACGAGTACGATGAGAGCAGCTGGGGCACGTTCTGGGACCAGTGGGACAAGGACGGTGAGGAGGGCAAGTACGAGAAGAAGGACGCAGACGACGGCCCCTCCGAGGACTCCCAGATGTTCTGGGCGCACTTCTTCAAGGGCGAGAAGCAGGACAAGGACGAGGACGAGACGGTCGAGAGTTGGGGTGCGTCCTGGGAGTCTTGGGACAAGTGGGGCGACTGGGAGAAGGACGGCAAGTGCACGTCTTGGGAGTACAGGGGCGGGGACAACTGGAACAAGTGGGGCGACTGGGAGAAGGGCGGCAAGTGCGCTAGCTGGTGGGCCGCGTCTTGGGAGTACTGGGACTGGGGCAACTGGAACAAGTGGGGCGATGCTTGCCAGGATGACAAGCTCGTGAGCGCGCTAGGTCCGACAAGTCCGCCGTCTCCGAGGCCGTCTCCTTGGTTTCCATGAGCGGCTCGAATGCGTGTGAGCGTGCTCTAGCCAAAGCAGAAGCGGCTCGCCCTCTGGCTGACCGCCTTGCTGAAATGGTGGGTTATCTGTCGCCGCCAAGACGTCCAGCAAGCCCTGACCTGATCTCCATGGGCGACCCGGATGCGTGTGAGCGTGCACTGCAGCGTGCACTTCGCATGCAAGCTGAGGCGGAGGGGGAGAAGGCGGCCTCGCTCCGCCAGCTGGCCCAGCGGCTCGCTGACCTCGACCAACTGGCCGATCCTTCGACGCTGACGCCGCTGCCTTCGCCTGGTCGCAACGTGACGCCTGAGAGCGCGAAGCGCCCGCCCAAGAGGGCGCGGGGCGTCGGCGCGAGCAGCGCGGGTGGCGCGTGA